CACACTCACACTCACACACACACTCACACACACACACACACACACACACACACTGTTTTAAAATGTTTTAAGACAAAAGTGAGTTTTAATTTTCTAAATGCTAGCTTAGTTTTGTTAGTGTTTGAAATGCTGAGTAGTTTGAAAGGATTTACCGTTGTCAAAGACTGACAGTGTTTTAGTGCTGGATACCGCTGGTGAACTCCTGCAGCGATCGAGCCCTCCTCTTCCTCTTCTCCCCCTCCCTCCTCTTCCCCGCGCGGCCTTTCTTCTTCCTCTTGCCGATGGCCTTCAGCGTGCTCTCCTTGTACGTCTGGGACTTGTTGGTTTCCTGCGGGAGGTTGGTTCCCTCCTCATCCTCCAGACGGAAGCTGATCGGCAGGTTCTTGGTGCCTCCAGCGGGTTTAGGGTGGGCGGTTCCAGTTCCTATGGACACACCCACTCCCATCGGCATGGCAACCGTGAGGCCGCCGCCCCCTCCGCTGCTGGCCATGCCTCCTCTGGGCTGCGGGACGTCCCGGATCTCGGCCGTGTGAACTTCATGCAGCAGCTCCTGCAGCCACATGCGCCTCTTGAAGTCCTGCAGCGTCCGGCCCTTATCGTGCATCAGCTGAGCGTGAGTCACTGAACGCCTCCTGAAACAGACAAGAGTGATCAGATGTCAGAACTGGCCTCCGTCGCATTTATATTCATGCATCTGACAACTCAAAAACACCGCTTCATTCAAATGAAAACATAAATCTATACAATAAAAACTACTTTTTTACAACCCAATCTATTCGCAATTAAATATCCTAAATACTTGTCAGAAAACAGAAGTAAAATGGATTGCAAACTGTGTTTTTATTATTTTATTTTAATTCTCCCACAAAATAAACAACCTGCCAAAAGAAATCAATGCAATAACAGCAGCACACAAAACTAACACACAAGCAAACAATAATATAGAATATAGAATAATAACATTCAATTCCAGTTCACTTAAAAAAAATAAAATAATAAATAATAATATATATATATATATATATATATATAAAGAATATACAATAAAAATAAAATAATAAATATAATAAAATATAATAATAAAAAATAATATTTATATACACACATTAATAATAATAATAATAAATTCCAGTTCACCTAAAATTATATATATATATATATATAAATAAATATT